TTTGATTTATAAGAACACAATTATATTTTGATAATTCTCTATATACAACAATATTTATAATTTAGTATACTTTAGGATTAATAAATTAAAAAAATATATCAACATGCCTCTTATGAATGCTTTAAAATTTAGATCCCCCAAAGAATTGTCAAGACACAATGTGTTTATTAGCATCCTCTATTACATAACCTCTATATGGGAGCCTTTAATTTTCCAAGTATGTTTCTATTCATTCAATTTAAAACTGATGTGGATTTCTTAATTTTGTTTTGGTTTTAAAATGTACATTTCTTAAATAAATTTTAAACACTTTCTGAATATGTGTTATTAACTCACTTTTCTTTTTCACAGGTTAGAAGATAAATTATCCACGTAAATATTTTCAAACTTTTCACCATTTCATTTCTCTATATCGTGTATATTCTTTGATAGTTTGAGAAATGCATATTTTTTAAATGAAAAAAAAATAACTGTCAAGAGGCAAAACTTTTATTAACTTCTAAGAGCAAAATTGAACAAAAATAGCACTTGGCAACAGCTTTAAAACCATGTAGTACATCCATCGCATCTTATGAGCACTCAAAATGAAATAAAATGAATTTTCTCTAGGGCCACACAACTAATGCATTGGACAGATGAGGAGATAACACATTTATTTCAAGTAATTCTATATATCCCTTATTCCAATTACTTGAACATGTTTATGCCCATAAATACTTTAGTTCTTCTCATAAAAGTTATGGTTTTATTTCTCCACTTTCAAGGCATCTCTTAAAAGGCAACATGCACTGGGATAGGCCTAAAGGTACAATTTAACTGGTAACATGCTTACTAGTGTACTTTGCTTTGTGTGATAGCTATGATTCTGAAAGCTTCAGACTATTTTAACTTTTTGGAAACAAAACCACTTAACTTGCATTAAAGTTGCTTACTATTTAAAAAAGTCTAATGCAGTTTTTCCTTTTATCATTTCAATTTAAAAAGTAGAAATCTTTGTATTCTCAATAAAGTTATAAATCATCAGTTTATTAATTTTATCTCAGTGTCTTGAGACTCAGCAGTTGTATATTATTTCATTTTCTGTAGAAGAGGGATAAAATTAGTACCCACACCTTATAATATTGTGAGAATTAACCAGTAAAAGTACATTCTGCATATGGCAGAATATAATATAAATATTAGTTATTTTAATCTCATCACATATTAGGGAATCATCTGTGAAAATACTTTTCTTTCTTTTTTTTTTTTTTTTGGCAGCTGGCCCATATGGAGATCCGAACTCTTGGTCTGGTGTCATAACACTGTGCTCTAACCAACTGAGCTAACCAGCCAGCTCGAAATATTTTTCTTAATATTACTTGAGAGAAAATTTGTCTACTTTTGTATTTAAAAAATCCCTATAAAAACTTAATTTGAGAAGTTCAACTTTTAAAATATACTTAATTAAGGTTAATGGCATTAAAGCTTCTGCTAATAAGAAGGAAAATATTATAATGAATATTATAACATTATAACTGTAACTTTGCTTTTCCCAAACATTGGAAGTGATATAAAAAAGAGGAATGATCATCTTAATTATACTGTCTTTATTTTTTTTTTTTAACCACAGACAAGTGATGACATTCTAATTGTTGGTGAAAATAATTTACTCTCAGTTCAAAATTAGCATCAGTGTATAGAATACATGATCTCAATTGAGTGTTAAGACCTATGATTCAGAAAAATAGGGATTTTGTAATCTTCACTTTTTATTTTATTACCAATTTTGTGTCCTTGGGTATATATGATACTATGCTTAATATTTAAAAATTGGTAAAAGTCTCTCCCTGATCTTCATGTCAGGATAAAAAGAGATATAAATGAAAGGTATAAATGAAAAATAAAGAAAATCACTAAAAAATGTATGTAAATCTGTTTGGCATAAGGAAGATACCAGGGCAGAATCACCAACATAATGTAATAATATGTTTTTGTAGTATCATTACATTCCATATTTGACTTTATTGGTACTTTAGTCTGGTCATAGGAGACCCACAAATGATAGTATTGATTTGAAAACACACTCAAGGTATGATAAACTCACTAAATATGAAAATGCACAAGAGAGAATGTTATTCTGTCATCAATCTCGGTATACCTAAGCAATGTCAGGGTCTCATAATGAGGTATGCTAATTGGCTCAGGTCTCTTTGACTTGGTTTTCCTGTCACTCTTGGAAAGACTGATTCTCCAGTACTTTGCCTTCTTGTACTATCATGTTTCTTCCCTTTTTGTGCAAGCTAGGTATTAAGAATATCGATTTTGTTCACAATGAATAAATCCACATGAAAACTATGCTAAACTAATTCAAAGTTTGTACATAAGAATTTTTTACCATATTGATAATGATTGGCTCTACCAGTATACAGAATTCTTTCCTGAAAGTTTTAAAAAGAGAGAAAATCTGTTATTACTACCAGTCTATAAAACCTTCAAATATTTTTAATATCTAAAGAAAAATAATTTAAAAATACATAAAAGCTGATGCATAAACTAAAAACAAACTGAGATGCCAACTAAACAATAACAAGGTGTATAATTTTGTTTAAACTATTCTATTAAATGGCCTTAAATAAAATAGATCCTAAATGGGGCAGATTACAAGATAATTTTTTTATATCCAAATAAAAGATTTAGAAAGTTTGCTGAACATGGGAATTTTTATGTTCAGCAATAATTGCATTGGTAATTATTTAGAGCTTTGAAATTATAAGCATATTCTTAAGACAATGGACAATTATTCTATTTAGATATCTTCTGGAACTACAAATCAGTTTTATGAATTTGAAGATAAAAACTGAACTTTTAAAAGTTGTCTAATTTAGATTAAGCCTTTGTAGTGCATACAGAAATAACATTTTCTGGAATTCATAAAGTCAAACTTCATAGGAAGTTCAATCTTAGAGGTCTTCCCTCTACTGGCAAAGTAATGAGAAAATCTAATAATCGAAAGTAGTAATAGAGCATTCTGAACCATTTGGCGTTCTGAACCATTTTTTATACAAACAGTAGTTTGAATGCAAATAGTCCTGATAATTACCTCTACTCTTTCTATCTACCTGTGTGAAAACATCCCCTTTTCCAAATCAAAAGCAAACCAAAACCAAAAAATTCCTCACACAATCTTGATGCAATATTGAAACATGAAAGATATTTAAAAGTTGTGTATCCTAAGTGGTGAACTTATTAGCAAATGCTTTTTACTAGAGACTTGAACCCCACAAAATATGTTCTGTACAAAATTGACTGGAGAATGTTTTTCCTAAGATATTTTGGAAATATAATGATTAGGCTTTGAAAATACAACAATTAGATTCAAAACAGTTTGCTTGATTTATTTTTTAAAATGAGATGTTAGTTTGTACTATGCCAATACTTTAAAAAATTATAATTGCATTCTTGTCTATGCTTTGACTCTGAAAAGTAATGGTTCATTTTACAATACAATTTCAGCACAGAAATTCACTATATGTCTACAAGCTTACTCTAATCAGAGCCTTTTTCAAAGCTATAGGTCTATGCGCTTCCTCTAATCAGAGCCTTTTTCAGCATTTATCTCCTAAAATAAAGAGGAAATATGTAAATACCACCAAATTATCAAGTCTATCCAAAATGTTTTAAGTATATTGAAATATTTTAATACATTACTTTATCTACTAAGGACTTGATCCATCTTAATACTTAGAAAAATGACATTACATTAAAAGTATGGAAATTTTGGTTACAAGAACTCCTTTAAAGAAAAAATAATACATTAGCTATTATCTAAAATACTGTCAAGAAACAATAGCATTGTTCAAGAGCTGTAAAATGGGATAAGCCAATGAGCTACATACTTAGAAAATGGTTAAAGTTTTTATAAGCCAGATCTTGGACGATATTTTACCAATTTAAAAAATTGTCAAATCCAAGGACTTCATTGTAATTTCAGTTCTCCTTGAAGTTCAATAGGGTTGGAATACTCAACTGAATCCTTAACCAAAAGGTTGTCATTCTGCTTGAGCAGAGATGCTAACTTAAAAGAAAAAAAAAAAAAACAAAAAACCCACACATCAGTATTTATTCTAGTACATCTATTCTCTACAAAGCATCTTTTAGAAAATGGAGACATTACATTAACAACAGAAACAGATGACTGTATGATATCCTAAAACAATTTCAACATTCATTATTATAAAGTCACAATTCATGTGAAATATATGTATTTTTATATAATTTTAATCAATGTGTCACTCACATTAAAGAAGATTGAGGCACTGTGGTTCAGAACAGTCTATATTCTTTCATTGCTAAATGTAAAGAAGCTGATTATCTGTATCCAATAATCTTTTGATTATCAAGCATTTGAACATATGATTTCACTTATTTGCTGCTCTTTTATTTAATACTGAATTAAAGTAGATGCAAATAGGTCCTTTATTGTTTTGGGCAGTGGCTAAACTCATGTAATCTGAGGTAGGGAAGAAATGTTGTTTTTATAAAAATTCTTTAATCATTTCACAGAGGTAAACATATTCAAATGCTAAATACCTGACCTTTTGAAATAAATGCAGACCTACCTTGATTTCCACAATAAGCTTCTATTCATTTCCATGAGACAATGTTTTCACAAATGTAAGGCAAAACAGGTGTTAAATTACTTAACAGAGCCCATAATTTAAATAATTAAAACTAATTTGTGTTTAAAGCTATTTGCAGATTTATTAGAGAAACAAATACAAATATGCATTTCTACAGAACTGTTTTTTTTGTTTGTTTGTTTTTTCCAAAATGAGCTTAAAACTTGTTCCACAGTTTTTACTTGTTTATATAGCTATGGTAACCCATGTACTGGCTTCTGTACCACGTGAAATGAAACAATTGCCCTTCCATTGCAAATATAAAAAACTATTTTAAAAAAAATTCGGCACATACACGTTAAATATTTTTCCTTAAAAAAATAATCTAATCAAAATATTGAATACTTTAGACTTAAACAATATTTTATTTACAAATCTGATTGATGTACTTTATTAATTATACAAGGTAACGCTTCAATTTTCAAGAACAGTTGTTTTTTGTTTATATAGACCAGTGAAATGACATCCTATCTAGTAATATGTACTACACTTTAATTTGTTTTCAAAATTAACAAGACAATTTTTCTAATACTTTCAGTTTTTGAAAAAATGTTATTTAATTGGGGCACATATCTGATGAAACAAAAAATAACATGCAGAATTCCAAAAATAATCTGTTAAAGTAATATGATACTTACCCTTTATGTAAAAAGACATCTATGAACAACAGTGCATAACAATATTATGTATTCATGTTTATGAGAAACCAAGCAGGAGGCAAAATGAGTTCATCCTGTTTTCTAATCATGTGTAATTTCATATGGCTGTTTGCATCATTTACATAAAGTGTGTACATTAAATTTATGACACTGCATTGCACTCAAAATTATTATATATAGCCATGCTTGCCCTGTATTTAATGAGTGATGAATTTCTCCTACTAACAGAGTAACTGGTCTCAAATCGTGTCTGTGATGTAAAGAGTATTAAATTATATTTTCATCTTCTTTCAATTGCTGCCTTGGAAAGCAAGAATTCCCTTCTTGTGGAAAACTTACAG